GAACATTTGATGCAAGGCAGGAACCTGTTCCCAGGGGCTGGCTCTTCTCAGGACTGCTGCTTCCTTGAATATTCATTTTGTTCCTATATTTATTAAAAAATCAGGGGACAGGAGAAGCTTTTTATCTCCCAGTTAATACCTTCATTCAGTGAGCCCCTTTTAACCAATGAAGAAGAGGAGGAGCTCCGGAGAAAAATTAGAGGCACATTACATTGGTCTCCTGCTGTGCTTTGCCTTTGAGACACTTCTCTCCCCCTCCACTGACCTGGCTTCCTAATGAGGCCTGTAAACTAGGGAATGCCCCCAACAAGTGTGCTTTCTTACAAGGTTTGCAAAATGTCCAGGATACCTGCCTGGCCTATCTGTACTTCTAACCAAATCAACTAGCACCACTGGAGATCAAACAGGAATTAAATAAATGGCATTGGCAGGAACAGGTTTAACACCCCAAGCCTACTGGGGGAGAGAATGCAGTATTATTGATTCCAGCCCCTGACCTTGGAGTGATGTAAACAGGAGTGCAGCAACCCTAGAGGAGTTGTAGCAAAATAGTTATAGCATTGCAAGCAGATTAAAAATACAGTTAATATACATATTTCCCCAGATGCTTGTTCATTATTATTCAGGACATGTTTATTATGCAAAATGATAAAGCAGAAAAAAAGGAGAGGAAAAGAAAATGCAAAGACACACTGAGTTTTTAGCATGACTGGAGTTTTCTCAATGCTGCTTAGTGGTATTTTTTTTTTATTGTGCATAATCATTCCCTTATTAGCAGGAATCTTTGAAGTAATTCAGGCTCTAATTTCAGCATTTCAAACTCATACGTTTATACTGAAAAACCATAGTGAGCTCCTGTAAGTGACCCATTTTTTTCTTCTGTATTCTCTGTCTCTGCTAGGGTTTTCTATGTCTTCCCAATAAATTATGTATCACAATTTGCCATTTCAAAAATAATTAGAACTCCAAGTTAAACAACAAGGAGTATCTGAGAGCAATACATTTTAGACGAGAAATGTTTTGCACTTGGGGCAAAACCAATCCCAGCTGCAATGCCACTGAATTAGACATTATCATCATATTGAGAGATGCATTTTCAGTGCAGTTGGAGTGATTGGGTGGACCCATGGAGACTCTGCTGCCCCATGATGAAGATCTGCTCCAAGAGAACCAGATTTGCCTCCCAGGCGAAAGTCTTCACAAGCACTCCCTTTCCTATGCCCCTGTGAGTTGTTGCAGGAATAACAGAGGGAAAGCTGGGAACTGAGGGGAGAAACTTCACGAAGTTACACAGGAGTGGAAATTTATTTGGTGGTAGAACTATTAACTCCAGACAGACAGGAGAGCATGTTCTGAGTCTTCTCCCGTTAGGATTAGGCTGTAAACTCACTGGAGCAGGACAGACCTCTTTATTCCATGTTTCTGAATCCTGTGAAACAACCAGCCAGTGGTCTCAGGTTCTTCCCAAGTGCTGAGGCACTGTAGGTTATACCCACTGCCCTTCATTCATTCTGTGCATTTTTACTTTGGCATCAAATGCTACCAGTGGATCTTCAGGAGAGTCAAGCCCTTCCCCAGAACAGGTGCTGAGTGAAACCTCTGTGCACCCTCAGGGAATTTACAGCTGCTGTACTGTACAGGAAATCAAAACAGAACACACCAGTGACCCCGCAAGCTTGCTATGCAGACAGTGGTTTGCATCCTACTTTCTGCAAAGCAGGATGTCTCCAACCAAAGCATGATTTTCTTGTCTACTTAGCACCGAATTCCCTGTCAGCCTCAGAGATAGCAATAACCTAGTCTAGGGGAAACTAAATCAGGTATCTAGTGTAAGTAAACAATGCACAAGTCCCAAACAGCTGCTTCCCAAAGAAGGTTTAGCATCTAATAAATTTAGGCCTCTAAAGCTGGCTAGGAATAGATGGTTGGCTTCAACCCAGCAACCCAGCCTGACACTCTCCCTGCCTTAACAGATGAGGTAGGGATGGGGAAACTCATTGCTGAAGGTAGCGATGTGGCCAAGCCATCAGAAAGGTCTTGCAAGTTCCTAGGAAATGCTGTGTCACCACGTTTGGCTTTAGAGGACTCTACTCAGCCCTAATTTTGTGCTAATTAACACAAGGAAGACTTTTTCCAGGGGCTGGTTATTCTAAGCCCATTCATTCAAGAGCCCATTGGCCTAAACTCAGAAGGAGCTGGCACAAGCCATCCCTAAGACCAGGGATAACAGCCTCTGGTTTGATTCAGGGCAGAGGATGTCAGCCAAGACTTCAGCTGTCACAAAGAGATTAAACATCACCAAAAGCCCCACAAAACAAAACCAAAACAAACCCACAGTGATAACACGTTCAGTTGCAACATGAATCTGCATTCAAGAGGAGGGGAAAAAGCATAACCCAAATGAAAAACAAACAAACAGAAAAAAAACATTATCCTGGACAATTTTATCTGAAATCAGTCCTGGCCTTGAGGGTGTTCTAAGAAGTCCTTACAGGGCTTCCACGCAGCATGGAAGGCAGCCAAGCAATTTATTTATCAATTGGCTCATGTGAGTGAACAATATCTGTGGGGAATATTGACCCATTTTTTTTCAGAAATCCCAAAAAAAAGGCTAGTGAAAAAAAACAGGTATATATACAGAGAGAACAAAGATGTAGTTTAGAGTCTGCTAAGCAAAGACCAGGGACCATGTGTCCCTTGATGTGGTCAGCAATGAGGTCCAGGCAGCACGGCCTGGGGATCCTCACCCCACAAGGAAACCTGCAGCATCCAAAAGAGACTGCCTAAACAGGTTGAACTCTTCTCAGACATATCCAGTTCTGTCATGGCATCCTGATCTCATCCCTTGTCCTTTACAATGAGCTTGACCCACACTTCCTGCTCTTAACACACATTATCCACAAATTTTCTATTTTCTTGCCTTGGGGTTTGCTCCCATGCACAGTGCATTCATTGATTTACTGCTGTAAGACAGAGCCACCAGTCATCAAAAGGAAAAAAGGTCCATCACCCTGGAGTAGTGCATCACACATTTACTGCAAGCAGAAACCTTGGATCACATTGATAAAACGAACAGTTTCACTCTTATTAGCTGAGACAGAGCTCAATGCCATCAAGCTGTGGCATGTAATGAGGTTCACTTCATTAACCACCGGCCATCACAGTGCATCCTTCCCCATCAGCCTTCCCTGATTAACCTACTCAAGACAGGCACACTTGTTGGAAATAAGCAGGCCCATTAAATCACTCTCACTTGAATACATGCGTGATCTGGTGCTTTTTAGGATACTTGAAACGACTAACAGATGTGTTTCCTGGACAGCATGGTCTTCCTGCTGTCTACCACCTCTTGGTGCATCCCTCCCACCCTTTATATCATGTCTCACTACTACTAAAGAGAGAAAATTCTTCTCTGCATCTCCTCTAGTCTCTCAGCTGCCAAACATCATTATTTCAATTCTCTATTTCTTCTTTTTCCCAAGACCCACACCGTTCCCTCCCCTGCACTAATTGTTCAGAAAATGATGACCACTCATTGGTCCAAGAGGATCCTGTTGGCTGGCTGTGGACCTGTGAAACACTCTGATTTCCTGCAACCCTCATTTACAGGACACTGATGGTACAAGGAGCCTCAGCATTAGGCCAGAACCATGTTCTGCACTGCACAAACAGGGCAAAGCATCAGTCCTGAGACCCACAATGTGTCCAGAGGGACACACGCAATAATGCAGTACCACATCATGCTTGGTATTACCTTTAGGACTCTGATAGCTTTACAAAGAGAGGAAGTTTTCATTGTTAGTAAATCAATTTAATTTATTTAGAAGCAGTCAATTATGTTTACTGGGCTATGAAAGAACAGGAAGCGTCTGGCATCCACAGAGATCCAGACTGATCTCTGTCTCTTCTTGACACGCAGCCAGTTTCAAGACCTATCTCGCCAGGCATACTAACACCTCCACTTGCTTCCTACCCTGAGCTGCTGGGGAGACAGAGCCTTGTTACATCCCAAGGGAAAAGAGGAAATCCCAATCATGTGAGCAGTATAAAACTGACCAGGAATAAAGATGGAAGATAAAAGTTAGGAAAAATTGCATAGAGCAACCCAAACTGTTGTCCTTTCAGTGGTCCCATCGTCATGCTCACAATGCTTCTGAAGCAAAAGTGCCCAGACAAGAGCAGAATCACTGCACTGTAAATTTACACAAAGGCAGATGAGATTAGAATCTGGCTATGCACTGTAAAGCTATCATAACTACAGAAATGGAAGTGTATTATTAACTATCCCTTTTTACTATGTAGAACTAGAACAAAGTTATTTGAAGCATAAAAATTCTGGCAAAGGGTTGCCATATTTAATAAATCACCGAATCAATTATTCACTGTGAAAATCAATTACTTACTTTAAATGAGAATCTTATGAATAACCTCATGCCCTTTCATGCCATCTAAGAAAGTTATAAGGGAATTAGTTGGCAAAAATTGCCGCACATATCTTTTATGTGCATTAAAAAGACCACACAAATACAGCAATTTCTGCCAAGAGAATAGTCCAGAACCCTTTTAAGAGAGTCAGGGTATTGCTGTGGATTTACACTGCAGTCAAAAGCAGAGTATGGCCCATTGGGGCACCACCCATGATAAGGTATCTGGGTGCAATTCAGAAGCAATCCCAGTGAGTCCACGCCATTTCACAAATGAGAAATCAGAATATGACCAGCCAACTCTATACAAATGCTCAACAACGTGACCTACATTAAGTACATATTTAAAGGAACAGAAAGTGTATCTTCACAGGTCAGGAAATACTGCCATGAATCTCCATGGAGACACTATTAAGTGAATATTGCATGGCCTTACAGCAGCTCCCCCCGCTCCTGCTTTTAAAGGTTTGCTGATCCGTGACTGTTTTCAGAAAAAGCTGCAAGTCCCAGCACAGTCTGTTCCTCCCACCGACAAAACCAAGGCACCCCAGGAGCCCAACAGTGCAAAGTACTCACTGAGCTGTAGAGATATCCCTCAGCGTTCATGGCAACGTACAGACCTGCCTTCACCCCTTGGATTGCCACCACGCGAAGACCCACAGGAATTAGATTGAAAAGGGCTGTGGAAGGAAAAGAAAAGCAAATGTTATGGACACATGCCCCTACATGGCCACTGTTGCTTTTGCCCCAGGGCCTGCCCACCCCACTCCTGCCTCTTCACAGAAGTGAAGAGCAATAGGATCATGCATCTAGAAGCACTAGGATCATGCATCCTGCTTCCAGCTACAGGGAAGGACTGCAGCCATGGAGCTGATGGTGAAAGGAAATTTTTAAAAGTACTGAGTTTGGCTGCCTCCCAAATGCCTTAACACACCCATCAGTCTGTCTGATCACTGCCTTTGCAGTGCCAAGGGCTCATCCGTGCTCCCGAGCAGGAGCATCGTGATGGCTTTCTGAGGGCCAGCTGAGCCAGGGCAACTGCACATATACAGACTTTGCCTGTGGCAAACACAACAACACAACTCAGTTTAGCTCCCTCTGAGACACAATTAAGCCTAGTCACACTTTCCTGCATTTGCCATATGCTAAAAGAGTACACAGACAGTGACCGTGGCCAGAGGAATGCAGATTAACTTGACTGTGTTTGCCCGTGCGATCCTGGGCTGTCAAGGGAATGAAGGAACTCAAGAAGAGATAGTGCTTCACTCTGGGACATCAGCACTGCTCCCCATTCAGGACCAGCACTGGAGAGGACAGAAGAGGACAAGATCTTCCATTATTCAGTTTTACTGCAGTCTTATTGATTAAAGCATTGCAACCACTTCCTCTCAGTTAATTACTTTATTGCTTGATTCCCACCCAGCAGACCCTGTATCTCACTGAAAGACTCTTCCCATGAGTATATACATTAATGTACTGTCAGGCTTTTGCTACGTTTCTAACAGCATGGGCTCAAAGAGGAGACTGTTATCAGCACTGATAGACTGAGCACTGAAGCATTAGCATGGCTTTGTTTCCACTGAGCTTTATAGGACAAGAGCTAGATGTTGCAGGATCCCTTGTGCTTCAGCTTACAAAGAGCTAATTAGAGCTCATCCCAGGAAGCTGAAGATAGGGAAAGATGGACAAAGGGTCAGGCAGAAATATAAGCACAAACACAGTGGAAATACTTCACTCAAGGTCTTTTCCTACACAAGAGCCCTGAAACAAGAATATGCAATGCCACTTTGCTCAGGACATCCACCAGGTGTCTTGGCTGTGCTGGTTTCAAGGTTGCCTCCAAAAGAGGATCCATAAATTCCAGTGCACATGAATATATTTTTTCTTCACTTAATTCCCAAGGAAGACTGAACTGCCTAAAATGGAGATATCTCAAGTCTAGTGAAAAAGCCCCTCATCTCAGCCTCTTGTGCTTTTACACACCATATTCTGTAAAACATCAACGTGCTGAAGTCTTACCAAATCCAGTGGCTGTGTGTGTGTTTTTGGGGGAGAATGTCAATAGATGTATATGGAAAATGCAGTCCAGGCTGGGTATTGTTCTGTGAATAACTGGAGTCAAGGACAGTGCTACTCTGGTACTGTCCCTAGACAAGACAAACACATCCCAGAGTAACTATTCAGCATTAGGAGTGTTGCCTATCCCTTTCTCCCCACCATGAAGGTCTAAAACCTTCTGCAATTAACAAGTCTATGAGCAATTCCCCTTCCCTATTTCTTCCTCCTACTGAAAAATGGAGCATATTACTGCTAATAATGAAACAAAATGGGCATCATCATTCATTTCCTACAGCCAATTTGTCTTGCATAGGAAACCTGTGACAGACCATTCAAAGCATTCATTAGGCAGCAAGGTGATAACACCCAGAATGAGCAGTTGAGAAGTTCCACTTGGAAGCACCCACATGTTTCCAAATCTCTTTCCACCTCTACATGCAAAGGGAGCAAAGGAAGAATCCCATTGTGCTGTGCTACAGCAGGAGGACCACTGCCAGCTCCCAAACTCCCTGGGACCCTGCTGGATCCATGATCATGGCAGAGCATCTCCTCCTCTAATGCAGGGGAGCAAGTGGGCAGGCAAGCATAAGGACACAATGCTGACAGAGGTAACTGCCAACCAAAAGAAGTTTTAGGAAGCAAGTATCTTCCTCTCTTAAAAAACACAGTGGTTTGGGTCAACAAAGATTCTGTAAATTCCCAGAGCTATGTTTGCACTCAAATCTAGACATACCTTTGTAGAAGTTGATACCTTTTACTATCATGCTTCCAAATAAGTATTTCATATTTAGAACAGATTTTAAAGCTTATAAGCTTTAAAGCAAAAATGAGGGGTAACTCTTCAATCAGCTTCAAAAGCAAGATGTCTCATTTTTTGTCTCAAAAAAAAAAAAAATCTGATTCATTTGAAACAGCAGATTTGAAAACAGGAAAGAGGACTAGCTGTGGTAGGACAGAACTGGACACTCGGTATGTTGATGTGAGAAAATTTTAAAAATGCTTTTAAAACTGTTTCTCTACTGCAAATGGCACATATTCTATGCCATCTGCAGCTTCATGGAAGCAACATGCTCTTTTACTTCATGGGCAAAATGGAAAAAACTTGAAAGATATTGAATATTTGTGCCCCTTTTCTTTCATCACATCTTACCATCTTAAACCAGTGGTATTTACACCTGATCCTACTACTTCTCGCACACTCCAGTCCTAAATGAATCAGTATATTGTCACTGTTATGGTAATTTATCAGCTAAATTCTGAATGCATGTTTCCCTATGGGTCTAAGTTATCTACAGAAATGGCAAAGTGAGGCAAGACCTGCCACATACAAGGTGTGCTCAACATGCTCAGCTTTAAACAGCAGCAAGTCAGAGGAGCTAAAGTAATTTATAACAGGGGATTTGTTCTTGAGCAAGACATTTGTGCTGCACATGAATAACAAAGAACTGATGGAGGATGCAATAGGCCAGAGCAGCCTCAGTGCATGAGGTGGTGAGGATTAAGGTCCTGAGGGGAGTATGGAAGGCTGCTGACATGATCAAGAGGCTCTGGTACAACACATAACAAAAGAAGAAACAGAGGGAACTGCATTTGCTTAACTCAGAGAAGGTAAAGGTTCTTCTCAGAGGAACAGAATGAAAGGACAAGAGGCACTAGACAAAGCCTCAAACAGAAATGAGGACTGGTTATGCAGAAAATTCTCTACAAGGAAAATAGTACAGCACTGAACCCGAGAGGTTATGAGAGGTTATGGAATAGCCCATTCCTAGAAATGTTTGAAAGAACTCAACAAGGCTCTGTACAGCTGAAGATAACCCAAGTGGGATGCTGGAATGCAAGCCTCTTTAATATTTTCGTGGTTTTGGCTGGAAAGCCCCAAAAAATATCCTAGATATGCTGGGCTGTTTCCACCTGCTCAGTCCAGTTCACCTGTCCTTTCTGTACTGTCATTTGACAAAGCTTCTCAGATGCTCAGCAGGACAATGTGGGCAGACAAGGAAGTCCACTTGCCCTTCTGAAGGGGCATTACCCTGCTCAGCCCAGGGGAAAGCAGTAACAATGCAAGCACTGACAGCAGCAGTGAGCCCTGAAAGGCCACTGGAGATCGCTGGAGCTGAAGGAAAAGATGCAGCCCCAAGCTGTGGTTCATACATTACAGGAGGAACACAAACAGGGGCCATACACCCTGGAAATGCATTCCAGTGGGAAGAAAACTCTTCACATATGCCAATAGCCAGAGAATGTGCCCCCTTGCTTACGTTGAGATGGCACGTCTCTAACGGCATGGCAGAAGGAACAGATGTCCCAAGTGCTGGCTCCTGGGAAGCTGGCTGGATGCCCATTCAAATGCCATTAGAATTTGGCTTCTGGGATTTTTTTTTTTCTTGAAGTGAAAGGAGGTGGAAAATAAATGCCATCAGCTTCGAGAACATACATAAAATGGGCAATAGATAATTAATTTTAAAATTGCTTAAATATTAGCAGTTCCTCTTGTATAAATAACTGGGTTTTTATTAGAACTTTTAATTCCATCAGATGTATCTGAGGGACATGGCGTGTCTCATTTTAAACATTTATTTTGTCAGAGTAAACCAACCTAATGTATTCCATGAAAATTATGCATTCTTTCACAATGTTAATTTGAATAATCAGTGTGGGGATACAGAACACAAAGCAATGTATGGAACACAGCGTTCACCAGCTGTTTAACTGTGCTAAGATGACTTCTGCGTGGAGAATAGATGGTCATCTAGGGTGGGAAAGATCCTCTTGTGGCCCTCTAGAGTGCCTTTCCTTGCCATGGATGCAAGTAAAGCAACCGCTCTTCAGGGATGGAAAAATATTATTTTTCTAGTCTTTGATGAGTTTTGCTCTTGCACACACTTCTGACTGGCTGGTGAGGAATCTTCTGCAGAAGCACTTCAAAACAGAAAACTGCAGTGAAGGCAAATCTGTAAGCTGGTCACTTAGACAAGAAACTTAAGACTTTCTTCTGGTCAAAATTTGTTATTTTTTTGGAGGAAAAGAAAATATTAAAGGCAATCAGCTTGATTTTGGCACTTCCAAAGTGCAAAATGTGATTTCATTTCAAAGCTGTAACTGGAAGCTTTATATATTCTAAAATGTTCATTCACACTGAAGATTTATTGATGAGACCATGTGGCAAAAAGCTATATAAAATTGAATAAAGCACAGTCCTAATTTCATTTTCCAGAGCCAAATATTAGGTTGGATTCTTTCCCTCTTTTGAGATCCCCTGAGATCAGAAGATGGGGAATTCTTTGGCTTCGATCTTCTCTCAAAAACTTGCCTAAACTTTCCAGCATAGTCCCTGACTTTGAGCCAGTGCCTTGGCACACTTCAGTGAGATGCCTCCTGTCCCACCAAGCTGCCGAGGCAGGGCTGCCATCTCACCAGATAAATTTACACTCTAGAAGTGTACTTCAGCCTATCTATTTCCAGTTAAGAACACTGGGTGGAAGCAGCTCTCAAGTACTCAGCACTTGGCCAAACTCATCTCTGACATTTCTGGGGGGATAAATAAATCACAGCTCTTTGAGTAACTGGGGCCCAACCTCAGCCATAGGAGCTCAGGAGGTTCCCCTGCAGCCACTGAGAGTGCAGCAGCTCCCCTTATCTCCCCTGTCAGTCTGAAATATTGCAGAACTGCTCTTATATTTCTCTGCTGTTTACCTAAATTCATCCCTGCTCCCATTTAAGCCCATTACTTTGTTGCTCAGTCCTCCATGATAGATGAAGGCAATGAATCCCTGTCACCTCTAGCATGTCTTCTCATATTTTTAACAAATAGGCCTCCAATGGGATTTTCTGTAGTTTAAGAACACCCTAGGTCTTCTTCTTTAAAGTAAAAGCAGCTAATCCAGCCCACTGAACTCGCCCCATGTGTTGGTGTCTGTCTGAGAGTGTCTCAAGGCCAGACTCTTCTGAAGGAGACCTCCTGAGTCTCTGAGCATAGAAGTGTGTGTGTGTGTCTAAATCCACAGATTCTTCTGCTCCACACGTAAATAAGAAATTGCCTTACTGCAATTTGCAGTATTTAACTTGCTCAATATGAGTGTATGAAAAAGGACTAAAACCTGACATTTACATTTGATACAGGCCATGTTTCTGGTGGATGCAGCCTCTTGAGTCATTCCACAAGGGCTTTGCCAACCACCTGCAACTTCAGTCACCATCTTCCCACAGCTCCTCTCTCCTGTGTGGAGCCCCAGCACTGAGCTGCCTGCAGCAGGGCAGCCCCAGAACACAGCATGGTCCTGCTACAGCACCCTGCAGCTTCCTGGGGATGGGGTAAACACCAGGGATGAGGGGCTGCAGCCACCCTGCACCCCTGTCCAAGTGCACCTGCAGAGGACAGTGTCAGTGCTGCACCCCTACAGATGCCTCTCACCTGCAGCCCAGGCCCTGCCTTCCTGGAGGAATGCCACCTTCAATCCAGCTAGGAGCTCCTTTGAATTAGACAAGAATTTGTCTGCAAATCAAGCAGGCTCCTCCTTTCACAAAGTACATGAAGTTTGCTTCCATCAACCCTACCACACAGATGAATTTTTGTTCACCTCTAATAATTTGGGAAGCCAAATTCCAAGCTGGCCAGGTTAAATGCCCCTTTAGCAGTGGTACAGGGAGCTCCAGACCAACATAGAAAATGCAAGACTTGAATCCTACCCTGTTGATGCAATTTGTGGCAGCAAGGATCTGAGCTTAACTGCCCACTCAGGGACAGCAGTCTGATGCCTATGAAATGCAGAGATACTGCAGAAAATATTCTACACCTTTTTTAACCTTTTGAAGAGCTTTGGTATTGACAAAACAACTTCCTCTTCAAAAGGAAGCCTGACTACTGCTTTGCATGCATTTAAACCAGTATGGCTCCTGCATATGGCCGTGGTTTTTAAACTTTGTTGTCCAGCACAAACCCAATCCTTTTGAACATGGTTTTGGAAGATGACCTCCTTTGACAAGGTCATTTGATACCCTCAGCCTTTACACCAGCCTCAAAGCACGAGACTTCAGTGAACAGCTGCTTTTCTCCAGCCTAGAAATTCCTGATGCTTGCTGAATTTTTGAGGCTAAAATAGTAAAAACTACTTTCTCCTCTTCTCCTTGGAGAGAGAATTCCCCGTATCCTTTACCCACGTGGCATGTGTATAAATATAATCTCCTTTCTCTTCTGGCAGCAATTCAAATCATGGGTTTTATTCTCCACCCCACCCAGATGGCAGTTACAGAATCGGGGCAGGAGGGAAGAAGATCGGAGAGGAAACATATGAAATTATACTGGCAAGATTTAAAGGGGACGGATAGATTGAAAAAAATATGCAGAAAACAGCTGTCTTCCTCCTAATTTGATCTTTTCAAAAATGAAGTTGCACAACTGAGAGCTACTAGGTGATACATTTGATTGTAATTGGGTTGCAAAACAGGCTAATTTTTCTTACTGTAGTCACTGTTTTCGTCCTTGGTCCCATCAATTGTACCATCTGGGTGCATCTGCAGGAAGTATTCCTGCTGGCTGAATAACCTTGTCACAATTCCTTTCAGCTGGGGTTCTGCAAAATAAAAATAATAACTATTATCAGATATACCAAGTAGCACAAGACCCAATTTGCTTGTCCCCCATTAAGCCCTGAGTAGATGTAGAAGTGCTTAGCAGGTAAGACTGCTATCAGTGATTCCTTTCAAGCATGCCTGTAAAATATTCACATATAATACACAGACAGGCAAATACAATTGAGATCAGATGAGCAGGTAAAATGAAATGCATACTTGGTGCAGTAGAAACAGATTATGGAATATCAATTCTCTGAAAGTTACCTACCAAATGGAAGGATTTAGACAGTTGATGTATTTAAAATATGCCACTTGTTCAGAAGAGTATTTGTTAGCACTGTTGCAAAGAACGTGCCCATTGTTTCTCATTCTGCTTGTGAAACCAGCCACCTTGCTTTTTGTATGGTTGAGTCACTATCACACAGTGCCAGCTTTATGCCAATGAACAGCTGCTTAAATCACAGGTATTACAGTGGTGTAAACCCAAAGCAACTGAGTGCTGAATTAGGGCTGCACGTGAGTGCAACTCTGTGGGACTTGGGCACAAAAATTCGGAAAGGGACAGACACAACACATTTCCAAAACTGACCTCTGAACATTTATGGGCACCTCAGACCACCTCTGTTTTAAAATTCTGCATGTTGTCCCCCTCCTAAAACATGTGCCACACACTCTGGCAGATCAGAATCTTTGTCTCCAACAGGGACCTTTCCCAGCCCATATGTATCATGAGCCAGCCAGGACATGGCTGGCTCTTCCATATTGCCTCTACAACATTTTATACCTTCCTGCTGAAGGGTAAAAGGAAAACATGAACAAAAGCAAAACCAACTTGAACTTCACATGACAGAGGTTGTCACCCTCCCAACCAAACAAAGTGATCAAAACTAAATTCAGTTGTAATCATGTGAGCTTAAAAACTTGTCACAGGCATTGCTGCTGGAACAGAAGTGAGCTGACTGCGTGTGAGCAGACACACTCGCTGCATGGAGGAGATCCTCCTTCTGTGACAGGACTTTGTGGTTTTATGTGACCACCCTCCAAAAGTAAATAAATAAGACCCAATTATTGCTGGCTCAATGGACAGGAAAGAATCCAGCGTAGCATACCAAAATCTCATCAGGCTCCTGCCTTTCATGCCTCTGGTGAGGCTGTTTAATAAGCCATGCTCATTACATAACCGTGGTCACGTTGTTGCTGATGTTCCCATCCGGAGCCCCGCTCCGGCTGCATCCCTGCACGACTCCCCTTTGGGGAAACCTCACCCTGCTCTCCTGCACTGCCAGCAGCAGCAGCGGGGATCTCAGGTGAAGACAGGCTGGAGGTACACAGGATTTCAGTTCCAGCAATCCCTACACTAGGCAGGGGAGAGTCGGGTACTTTCTCACAGCTGCAAAAGCCACCGAATAAATCAGATCAGTTGGTTTGTATGCGGCCTTAAAACAGAAGTGATTTCAGCGCAGCAAGTGCTGTAGGCTGCAGTCAGGCTTTCTCCCAGCAACTCTCAATGCTGGGACAGTAAATAAGTACAATTGTACTGGTCATCTACGAGGAGCTAGTGTTGGTCAAGCCAATATGTGTCAAAATAACACCTAGCAAAACAATTAGCTCATTCTTCTTCCGAAATGAATTGCCTATTTTGTTGAATGCAGAAGCTTGATTTAACTTGTTTTTTGTTAGAAAAGCACATCAAAGCTAGAGGAAATGAAAAGCTGCGTTCTCAGGCACAGATGCCTGCACCACCCTCCTCAAGTCTGTCCCTTTCCTCCCTTTTATCTAATACCACAATAGTAAAGGCACTAATAGGCACTCTTTGATATGAGACACCTACATTTGAGTCCCTGAATGAATCTTAGCCTTAATTTTACTCACTGGTTAAATTTTAATGTTGAAGTACTTTGCATGAAATGGAAGAGCTCCCAGAAGGAGAGATGTAGAAAATGCTCCTTCAGTCTGAGGTTTTCTGTGTGCTGGAGAAGTGGGGAGGCCCTGTCTTAAAGCTCTCTGAAGAGGAGCGGGGAGAGAGAACAACCCTGGACTTTATCTCTTTTCTTCAGAAGATAACTTAGCTACAGGACAGAATTAGAATAGCACCTTTTCCTCTTTCTTAGGGATGCAAACTATATATTCAACCATGCAAATTATTTTGGAACAGGAAAAACCTCTCCCATTTTTACTAAATAGCCTACCATGTAAATGTAAGACACTGACCAAATCTGCTTGTTATTAATAACTTATGACATTTTCACAGTTCATCAGAATAGCACCCAAGATCCCCTGATGCTTCCTTGCATCCTTTCTATAGATGCAAACACTTGCATCAGAAGGCTGTATCACCATAGCAAATACAGGGTAAACCCTTTCAGATTCCTTTATCTTACTGACCTGACAGACACCTGGTCAGATTTAACAACTGCCCTCTTCATAATGTCAGCTGTTTCTGAGTCACAGCCTACCTAGGTATGACTTGGAGGGGAAATCTTGTGTTACATGACCTGATTTTACTGAACTTTGAGGCTCACACCCAAACTCAAAAGTAAAACTCAAAGGGAGTGAAGCACAGAGTTCTCAGCCATACACAAAACCACATTCCTCCTGGCCCTAACACAGTCTGAAAGCAGCAGAGCTCTTGTCTTTCCTCACTACACAGATCCTCTTCTGCAGAACATCCCTGCCCACACTCATTTAGGATGCCCTGTAGCAAAAAAATGCCTCTTCCAGGCACCAAAGGATCAGAGAGCATTTTGGAGACACACAGGTCTCTCCTTCCCTAGTTCCTTCATTTCCTTGGGTCTCTTTCTACAGCAGAGAAGCTGCACTTTACAAGGGGCAAGGTTTTACCATCTTCCCCTCTCAGGATAGAACTATTACTGGAAGAGAAAATTGTATAATCACAGGATGGGAATTTTGCTGCTAGTCCAGAGGTAAAATGCTGCACATGACTTTTAAGAGACATACTTTTGTCATATCGTATATTTTAACATCACTTCTTTCCATCTACAGAGCAATTCTATCAATCTTCCAGCACTGCTAACCCTTATGTTGCAGCATTTGTGCTGAAAACCTCAGTTTATAGAAAAAAAAACTCAAAACCAGTAAGTCTCCTTGTCAAGTAAGGACGCTGAGACACCCTCATAAGTCAGAACAGAAAGACAATGAAATAGACTGGGAACTTTCCAGGTTTGCAATAAAAAGAGAACCACCCTTCCCAGCAGATATTATTGACAGTGCTTATTGAGTACCAGGGGAAAAAAAATACAATAAAACCCCACGACTTCTATACTTTTGTCTGTATTTCCCTCAATGATACTGCTCCAGGCTATATTCAATAAGAGAAAGATAACTGTAAAATAAAGAAGAAAAAAAATGCAGCACAGATAAGCAAAAACTCTGTTATGAGAATTTTTTTTTTCTATAATTCTTAGAATTTATCACTAATCAAACTTAAACCTACTCCCTAACCTCAGCCTTATAAAGCAAAGGAGACTCAAATCCTCTTGCTTTTAAAGGCACAATACTGCAGAACACACTTGGGATAAACATATTCCTCCCCCTCAGGCTCCTCTGTGTCCACTTCCCTTCTGCTATAGAAGCAGCTTTCCCTGCAGAAATGGAATTGAACTAACATGGACAAGACTTCAGCACCAAATTAGTGTCCCCCAAACACAAAATCAAGCACTTCAGAATGGATTTAAGATGTTCTTGCTGCCTTACTCCCAGACTACTGACTGAATAGAAGAGATTTCCATGTAGCTTCTACTCCCAGTGCAAGACCCCATGCTACCAGGTTTCCCATGCAATCTGCAAAGAGATATTTTTATCCCCACTTTATAAGCAATAATGCTATACTTCGGGATGTTTACTTTAAAGTTCTTGTTCTAGCTGCTTGTATACAGCTGTTGAGGGCTGGGACGCACTGAAGAAAACTCAGTGGACACTCTTTATGCAGATGCAGTAAGTTCAGCTCCTTCCAATGTGGCAATTCTGGAAGATTCAAGGGAAGATCATGCTGAAGAAGCACCACAATGGGGACATCAGAGTGCAGAACAGAACAATGGCACAGAGCAAGAGCTAAGATGTAACTCTCCTAGTGTGTAGCATCTGTCAGACTGGGCACTTTACCTTCAGTGAAGACACAGCTGTCACCTAACAACCCTTCTTAGGGCAGTCATCCACTGACAACTCACTGAACATCCCCTGAAGGGCATCTTGCTTGGTTACCCTTTCCACAGGCCAAGCACACCACTTCTGCCTGCCCTGCTTTTAACTTTCTGAGCCCTCTGGCACAGCTGAGGCTAACTAAATCATGATCTGACTGCTAATCTTCCTGTCTCTACTTAAATGGTAATGTGATGCTGCCATTATTCACTTCTGCTGTCCTGCTGCTGAGCCTTAAAGTCATCTCAGTTCACCATAAGCTGCTGTGCTTCCTGCCTTATTATGCAGCTACACAGTGATCTTCATCCTCCTGGGGCTTGCCAAGGACATGATAGTTGCAGGGTGCTCACATGCACTTTGTTTGATCTCCAGGGGCATGCTCACTGAAGGCCAGAGGATCATGGCTAAATCAGCTACTCTGCAGAGTCATGTCCCTCACCCTCAAGCTGCAGGCATTGCTGAAGATATCTGCTGTGTGCTATGGGCAAAAGAGCAAGAGCATTGACGGAAATATTACTCTTTAATGACCTTTTCATTTAGCTCTACTATTTAAGGGGAATAAGGAACTCACCCCTTAAATGGAAAATGGAGAACACGGAAGTATAACAACTCCCCTTAATGCAGAGAGGAGCTATGAGGTTATGCATCAATGCAGCATTTAGCAAAGCCCCACTGAAGGCACCAACTCCTGCTTATTTCCATCAGCAAAGCTGCAGCACTAAACCCCTGGGGGAGGACCTCTTTTAAAATCACTATAGGGTATCTCAATTTACTTCAAACCCTGCTCTGAAGCAACAAAGAACAGGGCACAACTTGCAGCTGCAACTCCACTGTGGAAGGG